TGCAGGAGGCAGCCAATCAATGATTCTCTCTCATCATTGATGTTTCTCTCTCTCTCTCCCCTCCCTTCCTCTCTGAAATCACGGTTTCATCTTTGCTTCTTCACAAGCTTCCCTGTAATTGCATAGTTGTTTGCTGCATTGAATTTCTTTTAGCGACAATGAAAAACATATTTTAATGTAGTCTTTAAGTTTCAGGCTATACATTAAAACATGGAGGGAAAGATCTCCTTCTGAGGAACACTTTATATATATATATATATTTTTTTTAATTAAATCTTTATTGTTCAGATTATTACATTTGTTCCTCTTTTTTCCCCCCATAACTCCCCTCCTCCCAGTTCCCACCCCACCCTCCGCCCTCACTCCCCACCCACTGTCCTCATCCATAGGTGCACGATTTTTGTCCAGTCTCTTCCCGCATCTCCCACACCCCTTTCCCCCCCAAGAATAGTCAGTCCATTCCCTTTCCATGTCCCTGATTCTATTATAATCACCAGTTCATTCTGTTCATCAGGTTATTTATTCACTTGATTCTTAGATTCACTTGTTGATAGATGCATATTTGTTGTTCATAATTTGTATCTTTACCTTTTTCTTCTTCTTCCTCTTCTTAAAGGATACCTTTCAGCATTTCATATAACACTGGTTTGGTGGTGATGAACTCCTTTAGCTTTTCCTTATCTGTGAAGCTCTTTATCTGACCTTCAATTCTGAATGATAGCTTTGCTGGATAAAGTAATCTTGGTTGTAGGTTCTTGGCATTCATTACTTTGAATATTTCTTGCCACTCCCTTCTGGCCTGCAAAGTTTCTGTTGAGAAATCCGCTGACAGTCGTATGGGTATTCCCTTGTAGGTAACTGAGTTTCTTTCTCTTGCTGCTTTTAAGATTCTCTCTTTGTCTTTTGCTCTTGGCATTTTAATTATGATGTGTCTTGGTGTGGTCCTCTTTGGATTTCTTTTGTTTGGGGTTCTGTGTGCTTCCTGGACCTGTAAGTCTATTTCTTTCACCAGGTAGGAGAAGTTTTCTGTCATTATTTCTTCAAATAGGTTTTCAATATCTTGCTCTCTCTCATCTTCTGGCACCCCTATAATTCTGATGTTGGTATGCTTGAAGCTGTCCCAGAGGCTCCTTACACTATCTTCGTATTTTCGGATTCTTTTTTCATTTTGCTTTTCCAGTTGGGTGTTTTTTGCTTCTTCGCATTTCAAATCTTTGACTTGATTCTTGCGCTCCTCTGGTCTGCTGTTGGGTGTCTATATAATATTCTTTATTTCAGTCAGTGTATGCTTAATTTCTAGTTGGTTCTTTATCACAACATCAAGGGTCTCATTAGATTTATTGTAGATCTCATCAAGTTTATCGGCAGTTTCCAGAAAATTATTGAAAGACCTTAAAAGTGTGGTTTTGAGCTCTATATCCCCCATTTCTGTCATGTTTCTTTGTCTCCGCATTTTTTATGCTTTCTTGGTGCACCCCCTTGTGGTCTTTGTGTGCAGTCTTGTTGTAGTTAAGCCTTGATTGCTGTAGGTAATACTGGGGAAGATTTGACCTCCAGGCCAACTGGCTATGAGAATCAGCTGCGTCTGCAGTGGGAGAACTTCTGTGCTGGATCTCTAGGGAGGTGCTAATCTAGCCTTTGCCTGAGGCTATCCGGCAAATGCCTTGTGCAGGGCTTGGGCAGGGTGGGTCCCAGGGGATCTACAGGGCAGGCTGAGCGAGCTGTTATGGCTGCTCTCAGTCCCGTCCCCAGGGGCTCTGCCTCTCAGAGTCCCAGCAACCACTGCAAACCTCGGAGAGAAAGCTGCCCTCGCGTTCCAACTGATGCCAGACAGTCCCGCTTCTCCCGTTTGAGTCTGGGTCCCTAGAGACTCGCCCGGAACTGGAGCTCAGAGCCTGAGACTCCCTCCCGATTGAAACAGACAACCGCGCCCTCAGCTGCCAGCCCGCTCCGCATGCACTCCTCACCTTAGTATTTTGCGCCCCCTCTGAGTCTCGGTATGCTTTTCTTTTTCCTCCTAGTTGTAGAGCTTCCACTCAGCCAGCCTTCCTGTGGTTCTGGATGATGTCTATTCCGTCTTTTAGTTGTATTTTTGAAGTGGTTGTTCGAGGCAGCAAACTCCGGCGTTAACCTATGCCACCATCTTGGTTTCTCTGGAACACTTTTTAAAAACCATTACAGTATAATGGGAATATTCATTCCTACACATCATATATTTCCCCCCTAAATGTTGTATAAAGAAATGACAGTTGCCGAAACCGGTTTGGCTCAGTGGATAGAGCGTCGGCTTGCGGACTGAAAGGTCCCAGGTTCGATTCCGGTCAAGGGCATGTACCTGGGTTGCAGGCACATCCCCAGTAGGAGATGTGCAGGAGGCAGCTGATCGATGTTTCTCTCTCATCGATGTTTCTAACTCTCTATCTCTCTCCCTTCCTCTCTGTAAAAAATCAATAAAATATATTTTTTTTTAAAAAAAAAGAAGTGACAGTTGAGTTGAGCATATGTTAATAAAAGGTCTGCATTAAAAAAAAAAGAAAGAAATCAATTTTTAAAAATATATTTTATTGATTTTTTACAGAGAAGAAGGGAGAGGGGTAGAGAGTTAGAAACATTGATGAGAGAGATCGATCAGCTGCCTCCTGCACACCCCCCCAGTAGGGATTTGCCCGCAACCAAGGTACATGCCCTTGACCGGAATCAAACTTGGGACCCTTCAGTCCGCAGGTCGACACTCTATCCACTGAGCCAAACCGGTTCGGCAAGAAATCAATTTTTTTTAAAAGTGCAAGTCAAAATGCCAAGAGTTTGCTGTTTCCTACTGAGATTCAACCATTTTTCTTAAATAAATGCTCCTTCGATTTTTGAAAGTTTGAATTAGTTTCCAGACTTCTGGGAAAGGTGAGTTTGATGTCTTGCCAGTGTTCTTGCTTTCATGGAGGAGTGGATTTTCAGATGCCCATCCTCTGCCATTCCAGGAGTGCATCTTCAGGTTACTTTTACTTTAAGAGGCATAAAACTTTAAATAATGTTGGCCACTCTTATGAAGAAGTGGTCTTTGAGTATATATTCTGCAGTTAATATGAAGAAATAAGTTATTCTTTTGTTTCCTGTGTTTTTCCCTTACAGCAGTGTTAAGGTCCTTACCCAACCTGACTGAACGTTTACTTTGCAGGAAACACGTTAATTTTTATTTTATTTTGTGCTGGCTCACTCATGTCGTGCTCTTAGGTCATGATACAAGACAGTATGTTTCCTCACTTCTAGAGAAGTTAAAACTCTTAATGACAATGTTATAAGATAGAGTTCTCTTATTAATGAGACAGCCAAGACTCAGGCTATTTCCTGCCAACACTTTCTTCAGGTTCTCTTCTCTAAATCAGGCCCTACATTCAGGACAATAAAACTATCAAGGTGTATTTTACACTGAAATCACCCTGGCATTTCCCAGACAGCTGATAGAATACACCAAAAATGTGCTCTCTAATAAAGAAGTATTCAAGAAGGAATGCTAAAAATAATCAAATGTAATTGGTATGCTCCACGTTTGTAAAATTAGCTTCTTGGTATTATAAGAGCTGCCCTGTTCATAGTGTCCACAATGTGGAAGCAGATGACAGCAAAGGGAGGAGCTCATTTCTTTGAGATGAGTTTTATACAAGGTAAAGGGTTTTGACCGAATGGTCAGTTATTGTGGACCTTTTATTTTATTTTATTTTATTTTATTTTATTTTATTTTATTTTATTTTATTTTATTTTATTTTATTTTATTTTATTTTTAAAATCCTCACCCGAGGATATTTTTCCATTGATTTTTTAGAGAGAAAGGGAAAGACAGCAAAATATTGATTGGTTGCCCCCTGCACCAGAGTAGGGGGGTGTTGGGGTTGGGAAGGGGGGTACATGCCCTTAACCAGAATTGAACCTGGGATCCTTCAGTCTGCAGGCTGACGTTCTATCCACTGATCCAAACCAGCTAGGCAGCCGTGGGCAAACTACGGCCGCGGGCCGGATCCTGCCCGTTTGAAATGAATAAAACTATTGAAATAAAAGACCGTACCCTTTTATGTAATGATGTTTACTTTGAATTTATATTAGTTCACACAAACACTCCATCCATGCTTTTGTTCTGGTCCTCCGGTTCAGTTTAAGAACCCATTGTGGCCCTTGAGTCAAAAAGTTTGCCCACCCCTGAGCTAGGGCTTGCTTTTTTTTTTTTTTTTAACATATTTTTATTGATTTAAGAGAGGAAGGGAGAGAGAGAGAGAGAGAGAGAGAGAGAGAGAGAGAGAGAGAGAGAGAGAGAGAAACATCAATGATGAGAGAGAATCATTAATCAGCTGCCTCCTGCACACCCCACATGGGGATCAAGCCCGCAACCCGGGTATGTGCCCTCATCGGAATTAAACCATGACCACCTGGTTCATAGGTTGACCCTCAACCACTGAGCCATGGCAGCTGGGCGTGGACCTTTTCAAATGGGTAAAATCATACTCATGTTCATAGGCAAGGGGATGGCTTTGACTAAATTCCTTAATTTATGGGCCTGTGTTCACACACGTAAAATGCAAACAATAGTATCTATACCCTATGGGAATAAATATAAAGCATTTAGGACAATGCCTGGAAGGTAGTGTTTTGAGGGTATTAGCTGTAGAGAAGTATGGCTCTTGCTGGCCCCATTCACCTCTTCCCAGCCAGCATCCAGAACATGCTGGTCACTCCCATTCCCTCTCTTCTACTGAAGAGCTGAGCTCAGGACAGAATAGTCAACCCTGGAAGGCTTTGGTCCAATTCAAATGACAAAGTCCTGGGCCTGACTCTAAGGTGAAAAAAGAAATTGAAAGCTGTGAATATGTCCTTGATTAGAAGAATAGTTAAGTGTCTGGCAAATTCCTAGCAAGTGTCAGAGCTGGGAACTGACCAAGTCTCAGTCAATGGAAACAGGGAAGCAAAAGTCACATTCCTATTCAGATCCAAATAATTTGCAAGTCACCTGCAGGGTAACTAGTTTATTCAAACTGTTGGACAAAGCTCCAGCCATGGGAGCTGAGCTGTGGGGCTAAACTGCGGGGGGATGACCAGGTATCAGAAGGTAAAAGGAGCTCAGCTGAGCAGCAGGAGCAGCATTAGGGCCAGGCCAAGCTGGAGAGGTTAGGACTCATGGAGCCCAGCTCCATTCATGGCCTCAGTGTAGAACCTGGCCACCTCCTCGTTGGGGTTGCCCTGTGCCGGGTCAAACCACATCTGGATGCAGCGGCCACTGCCTCGGCTGTAGTTGCTGACTTTGTAGGAGTGACTCCAGATTTCATTGCACAGAGCAGCAGGCGTGGGGAAGTAGAAATCAAAGCGGTGGCAGGCAGCCTTCACCGGGCACTCATTAGACCCTGTGGGAGGATGGAAGGCCTTTAGCCATTGGGCCCAGAACTCTCTCTGGTTCTGCCAACTTCACAACTCTATCCCTTCATATACCCATCTCACACCCGCACTTTCCCCCTCTCGCCCCACCCACCAGGCTCTCACCTGAGGTCCAGTTCCAGCCCTTGTGCCAGTTACTCTTGCAGGTGTAGGAGGTGCGGCAGTCTTCCCACCAGCTCTCACAGTCCTCTTTGCACAGGGGCACGTCCAGGATCCGCTCTCTGCGCCAGCTCTGGTTCACCTGGGAGATGTCAGTAGGGGAAAAGGACTCAGGCTCAGGATTCTCAGTAGCTCAGCCCTAAAGAGCCCCTGAGCTGCAGAGGCAGGACGAAGAGATGTCTAGGAAGCAGGCATGGGGAGGAACTCATACCTCCTGGATCCAGGGCCCCAGGTTGGGGGAGCACTCATACAGGCAGGTGTCCTGGATGAAGTGGCGCTTGCAGGCAGGTTTCATTGGGCCGCAGTGGTCCCAGTTGAATCTGTACAGGTAGGAGACATCCTTATGGGCTTCCTGGCTGGTGTTGACAGAGCAGCAGGCGTTCTTCTTCCAGGGACTGCACTGGGTGGGGAAGACACAGGACTAAGTTCTTCCCCCAGAACAGCCATCTTCTCCGTTTTCTGGCCCCAGTAGATCATCCAGAGGAAGACTCAGTGGGGAGGGTGCCTTTATGCCTGCCACTTGAGGAGCCCCTATTTGTGTTAAAGGCAATTATAATATTGGATTTTAACAGAGTAACAGGGGATGTGGGCAACCTGGAGAACCTCTGTCTGGAGAAGCAACTATTATTTGTATAGCTCTAAACAGTTTATAAACGTTTTTCACATCATTTAAGTTATTTATTTTACTCATGTTGCATCCAACCAATATTAATTGAGTGCTTATTATATATCAGGCGCTGGGCTAGATACTAAGAATACTACAGTGAACAAAACAGATCAAACCTCTTCTCTCATGTTGTGTATGATTTTCCTTCGGAGTTGGGGGAAGCCAAAGAACATTGTAGGCCTAGAAATAGCAGGTGCAAAGTCCCTGAGGCTTTTGTGCTTTATTCTCTCAACAATCCAGTGAAAACATCATTACTCCAAATTTTATGGAGTGTAAGTAAGCTGAACCCCTGGTAAATGGTGGGGTTAAGATTCAGGACAGGAGCCTGGTCCAGGTTGTGGTGGGAGGTGGATGTGAAGGGGGCTGGTTTGGCTGTCCGGGGGTCTGGAACCTCAGGCTCGGGGCTTCCAGGTAGTTTCGGAAAGCAGTGGGGAACAGAGGGAATATGGTCAGCACATGGGCCTGAATATTTGCCTGACTAAATGTGGGAGGCTATCCTAGAGAGGGAATTCATGGCACATAAAATGGTAGAAGTGGTGGAGGTGTCTCTTTAGAAATCACTCTAGCCCAGCCAGTGTGGAGTGGTTGAATGTTGACCCATGAACCAAGAGGTCACCAGTTCGATTCCTGGTCAGGGCACATACCCAGGTTGTGGGCTCAATCCCCAGTGGGGGCCATGAGGAGGCAGCCAATCAATGATGTTTCTCTCTCATTGATGTTTCTATCTCTCTATCCTTCTCCCTTCCTCTCTGTCTAAAAGTCAATAGAGAAGTGTATATATATATATGTTTTTGTGGGTTTTTTTAAATCACTCTAGATTGGGATTCAAGAGCTGTATGATCATGGACCAATTGTTTCAACTCTCTGAGATGGACTCTAGTACCCACAGTCAAGCAAGAGGGGAGATTTGTTTTTTAATTGATTTCAGAGAAGAAGGGAGAGAGAGAGAGAAATTGAAACATCATTGATGAGAGAGAATCATTGATCGGTTGCCTCTTGCATGTCCCCTACTGGGGATGGAGCCTACAACCCGGGCATGTGCCCCTGACTGGAATCGAACCTGAGACCCTTCAGTCCGCAGGCCGACGTTCTATCCACTGAGCCAAACCGGCTTGGGCTTCAGAGAATTCTTAAAAAGAACTTAAAAAGTTCTAAAAATGACAAGGTAGGTACCAACTTCAGGTGGGGAAAATGAAGTTGTTCTGGAGATGGGTGGTGGCGATGGTTGCACAACAATGTGAATGCACTTAATGCCACTGACCCGTACACTTTGAAATGCTTAAATGGCAAATTTTATGTATATAGGGTGTCCCCCCAAAAATGTATATACACACTTTGAATAGTTATAAAGGCTGTGTTTGTTAAAATACATTTCATTTTCAAAATTGAGCTGTCAGCTGTTAAAGTGTGTATACATTTTTTGAGGACACCCTGTATTTCACCACGTACGCACACAAAGCAATGAAATGTTGGAAACGACTCAGGAGTCATGGGGCTGCTGGGCTTCCTCCTCTTCACCTCAAGTTCCTGGAGTGAGTCCATGCCACAGTCTTTCCCAGAGAACATCCCCAGCCCTCTAGCAACGTGAAACCTTGTGGGGAGCAGAATTGGAGACCAGAAGGAACGAAATACTGGCATCTCTCATGAGCCTGGAGTTCAACTTCAAGCTCAGATCCCCTGAACTGCTTCCAGTGGCCTTATCTATGAAATGGGGACCCTGGTCTCACCTCTCCTTTTCTGTGGTCTCTGGCCCACAAGACTTGCCACTGTTTGTGCTGTCACCCTGCGACCCATGTACATGCTGTCCTCTTCTAGGTAGCCCCTTCCTGCTTTGTCTTCCTGGAAAAAGCTTACTTATCCTTCAAGGCCAAGTACATCTGATTTGTCACTGTCTCTTCAGAACCTCATGGGGGTGGGGGACCTGGCCTGTTTGTATATGTGAGCTTCCTGGTGACTGTGAGAGACCGGTTTCCCCTTCTACCTTACCTCTGAGCTCTGTGCGCTGGCCCAGAATGAAGGCTGGGAAACTTCCTGCCTGTCTCTCTCCTAGCCCCTGCTAATGATTAGCCTCTCAATCTCCACGGGTATCTGTGCTCTCTCTGGGCCTATTTCTTCACTTGTTTAAGTAAAGACCACCACCCACCAACCAAGTAGGACATTTGGGCTTATTCACTGATAAGATGTGAGGAAAGCACTCGGCCCATAGTAGGTTCCCCCCACCCCTGTTGTAGATTTGGTGGCCCCTGGAGAGACCCTCAGTATCACCTTAGTCACACTCCTTCCTCTATCACCCCCCTTAAAGTTGATCTTCCTATCACCCTACTTCTTCCCTTTCTGGGGTCAGTCCTTTCCCCACCCCACCCTCACCTGGCCATGAAGCTTGTCCTCGGGGCTTGGCTTTGTCTTGTGGTACTTGGCGTCCATGCAGACATTGAGCAGATCCGTCCTGCCCTGTCGAGTCCCGGGCGGAGCACCCCACACAGCAGTCACCGAAGCCAGAAGCAGCAGCTGTGTGATCTTCCAGGCCATGTCCATCTGTTCCTGCCAGAAAGCCACGGTCAGAGAGTCACAAGGCCTGAGAGGCAGCGACCATAAGACTCTTGGTCATATTTCTTGTCTCCCTCCCAAGCCCAGTTCTTCTCCCCACCCAAGCCCAGTTCTTTACCCCACAGAGCAGCTGAGGGGCATGTAGAGGCCTGGGCCAGAGGCAGGAATTCCTCTCCACACCCCCAACTCTCAAATGAGGACACTTCAACACTGGCTTGCTCTGTGATCTCTTCTGGATTTCACCAGCCAGTATTCCATCCACAATGGGAAATCTCTGCCAGCTTGGCAAGTCCTCCCAAACCTGTTCAAGAGAAACCACAGAGCATGGCCTGCCGATGGGGTGGGGGAGTGAGAGGAAGGGGCACCTGCCAGCCTTGGCAGCCTAGAGGCTTTTAGGTGCCCAGAGACTGCCAGTGGGGCAGACAGGGAAACTGTCCTGGGCCAGATGAAGGCCACTGAGTTGTTCATTTATGGCTCATGGTCCTGGACCAGGTGACATGGGATTGGAAGTAGGGTTGGGGGGCAATGTGGCAAGCCAGTGAGAGTGCAGACCCAGTCAGCCAGACTCCAGATCCTCAAGTATCAACAACCCCTCCTGCCACACAGAGGGGTCTTGGGAAGTTCCCCCAGCAGAGTCAGGCCTAGAGCTAGAAGGCCAACAGATAAGGGGCCTGTGGAGGAGAGGGCTGAGCCAGAGCAGTGGGCCATGGGGACACCAGAGGAAAGTCAGCAGAGAAACCAGCCTCCTGGGAGTCCTGTGGGAAACCCATCCTTGACTCCTACCTCCCATTCCCACTTACCCCCTCTCATCTGCCCTTACCTCTGCCCTCGGTCACCTGGGAACGTACAGTGGCTCCTCACCTCCCCGTCTCCCTTTATAAGCCCTTTCTGACTGCTTGGTCAGCCTCTCAGTCAGGGAAGACTGGCAGGCTTTGTCTAGGAAATAGCTCAACTGTCGCCCTAAGGGAGGGGCCAGTTAAATAAATTATGGTACATCCACCCAATGAGATTTAACTTGGTAAAAATGAATGAGAAAGCTCTTGCTGTATGATGTGGGAAAAATCACCAAGTGTATTGTTAAGTGAAAGAAGAAAGGTGCAGAAGGGTGTCTATAGGATGCAATTTTTGTTTGTAATGAAGGAGGAGGGAGTCATAGGATTCTGTACAATGTAAGTCCAGAATATTACTCTTTTTGTGATATTCCTGGTTCCATATGTAACTATAGATAGTTACTGATGGTATTCTAAAATTAAACTTTTTAGCCAAAACCAGTTTGGCTCAGTGGATGGAGCGTCGGCCTGTGGACTGAAAGGTCCCAGGTTCGATTCCGGTCAAGGGCATGTACCTGGGTTGTGGGCATATCCCCAGTGGGAGATGTGCAGGAGGCAGCTGATCGATGTTTCTCTCTCATCGATGTTTCTGACTCTCTATCTCTCTCCCTTCCTCTCTGTAAAAAATCAATAAAATATATTTAAAAAAATAAATAAAATAAAAAAAATTAAATTAAATTAAACTTTTTATATATTGGGAAAAAAAGAAGAGGAAGAACATATGTTTCCTTAAGAAAATTCTGGAATGGTACAACAAATTTTTTAAGTGGTTGCTTGGGGGGAGGGCACAGGTTTGGGATGAAACTTTCCGCTGTGACTCATTCTATGCTGTGTGTTTGTTTTCAATTACCGTTGACACTCAATATTATTTTATATTAGTTTCAGGTGTACAGTATAGTGGTTAGACATTTATATAATTAATGAAGTGATCCCTCTGATAAGTCCAGTACCCACCTGGCCCCATACATAGTTATTATAATATTATTGAATATATTCCTTATACTTTACATCTCCATGACTATTTTGTAACTACCTATTTGTATATCTTAATCCTTTACCTTTATCACACAGTCCCCAAACCCAACCCCCCCGGCAACCATCAACTTGTTGTCTGTATCTATGAATCTGTTTCTGTTTTTTGTTTGTTTGTTTATTTTGTTCTTTAGATTCCACATATAAGTGAAATCATATGGTATGTGTCTTTCTGTGTCTGACTTACTTTACTTAGCATAAGACCCTCTAGGTCCATCCATGTTGTCACAAATGGTAAGATTTTATTCTTTTTATGGCTGAGTAAAATTCCATAGTATATATGTACCACCACATTTTTATCCACTTGTGTATTGATGGGCACTTGGGTTGCACCCATATCTTGGCTATTGTAAATAACGCTGCAATGAACATAGGGGTACATATATTCTTTCAGTTTTGTGTTTTGGTTTTGTTCAGATTCCAGTAGTGGAATAGCTTGGTTATAAGGCAGTTCCATTTTGTAGGGAAGCAAGTCTGTGCCCGTGCGAACACCCAGGTGTTTGTTGGAATCTTTATGCTTAAAGGACTCTGCAGACGCCTGTGTCTTCTCAAGGATGCTTACCCTGCTGATAGTCTCTAATAGTTAACCAGTTAACTGTCATGCGTCCAAAACAGAAACCATCCCCACATGCCATGATATTTTGAATTTAATTTAAAAAATCAGCCCTACTCGGTTTGGCTCAGTGGATAGAGCATCGGCCTGTGGACTGAAGGGTCCCAGGTTCGATTCCGGCCAAGGGCACATGCCTGGGTTGTGGGCTCGATCCCCAGTAGGGGTTGTGCAGGAGGCAGCCGATCAGTGATTCTCTCTCATCATTGATGTTTCTATCTATCTATCCCTCTCCCTTCCTCTCAAAAATCAATAAAAAAAAATTAAAGAAAATCAATTTGCAATGAATATTATAAAAATAAATATATTACTCACAATTTGGGTGTTCTTGAATATTTTCAGGTGAAAATTCTCACGAAAAATGATTTAAAAGTTGGTCAGGGCTGCCACTTAGGGAAAACATTTTACTTTTTAATTCTTCCAAAGAACGTTTTATATTATTTTTACGTAGCATATACACAGTTGAAAAAAAGTATTATTTATACTTATTATTATTTAAAAAATTAAAATTGCTTCAGTGTATGATAAAGTTCGAAACATGGTACAACACATAATGGAACATTACATTGTTTACAAAAGTATTTGGTTTCTTTTCACTGTTTTGTACCAATACTAGTAGAAGAGCATACCAAACACATTTTCCATAGATATTTTTTTTCCAATAGGCAGATATTTCCCCCAAAAAATGTCATTCATATAATCTGGATGGCAAGCTGGTGGCATAACATTTTTTTGGGGGGGGGATGGGTACAGTGAACTGTATTGATGGTGCACGACAAAGCAGGGCTCCCTAGGCCCCTCCCCTTCTCCAGGGCGTCTGGGATGGAAACGGTGGTCAGGAGATTCTCAGTGTGTCAGGGGTTCGATCTGGGGCAGGGACTCCCCAGCAGCAGAGGGCCTCTCTTCCTCTCACTGGGGCTGGTGGTCCAGGGGACTCTTACTCCTTGGAGGCCATGTGGACCATAAGCTCCACCACCCTGTTGCTGTAACCGAATTCATTGTCATACCAGGAAACAAGCTTGACAAAGTGGTCATTGAGGGCAATGCCAGCCCCAGCATCAAAGGTGGAGGAGTGGGTGTCACTGTTAAAGTCGCAGACCACCTGGTCCTCAGTATAGCCCAGGATGCCCTTGAGGGGGCCCTCTGATGCCTGCTTTACTACCTTCTTGATATCATCGTATTTGGCAGCTTTCTCCAGGCGGCAGGTCAGATCCACAACCAACACATTGGGAGTGGGGACACGGAAGGCCATGCTAGTGAGCTTCCCATTCAGCTCAGGGATGACCTTGCCCACAGCCTTGGCAGAGCCAGTAGAAGCAGGGATGATGTTCTGGGCAGCCCCTCGGCCATCACGCCACAGCTTCCCAGAGGGGCCATCCACGGTCTTCTGGGTGGCAGTGATGGCGTGGACTGTGGTCATGAGTCCCTCCATGATGCCAAAGTTGTCATGGATGACCTTGGCCAGGGGGGCCAAGCAGTTGATGGTGCAGCAGGCATTGCTGACAATCTTGAGGGAGTTGTCATACTTGTCATGGTTCACACCCATCACAAACATGGGGGCATCCGCAGAAGGGACAGAGATGATGACCCTCTTGGCTCCACCCTTCAAGTGAGCCCCAGCCTTCTCCATGGTAGTGAAGACACCGGTGGACTCCACAACATACTCGGCACTAGCATCACCCCATTTGATGTTGGCAGGATCTCGCTCCTGGAAGATGGACATGGACTTCCCGTTGATGACAAGCTTCCCATTCTCAGCCTTGACTGTGCCTTTGAACTTGCCATGAGTAGAGTCACACTGGAACATGTAGACCATGTAGTTGAGGTCAGTGAAGGGGTCATTGATGGCGACAATATCCACTTTGCCAGAGTTAAAAGCATCCCTGGGCCGAAACCGGTTTGGCTCGGTGGATAGAGCATCGGCCTGCGGACTGAAGGGTCCCAGGTTCGATTCCGGTCGGGGGCATGTACCTGGGTTGCGGGCATATCCCCAGCGGGGAATGTGCAGGAGGCAGCTGATTGATGTTTCTCTCTCATCGATGTTTCTAACTCTCTATCTCTCTCCCTTCCTCTCTGTGAAAAATCAATAAAATATATTTAAAAATATATATATATATTTTTTTTTAATTGATTTTTTACAGAGAGGAAGGGAGAGGGATAGAGAGTTAGAAACATCGATGAGAGAGAAGCATCAATTCAGCTGCCTCCTGCAGAATCCCTACTGGGGATGTGCCCGCAACCAAGGTACATGCCCTTGACCAGAATCAAACCTGGGACCCTGCAGTCTGCAGGCCAACGCTCTATCCACTGAGCCAAACCAGTTAGGGCAATAATAGAACTTTTTAATACAAATTAATTTTTTTCTTGAACATTAACTTACCAGACACTGAATAACTGCACAAATTAATAAGCCTAATGCAAATAAACCTATTTTTCTTGTTCTCTGAAGCAAAATATTTCCTGTTGCACACACCAAACAAGTAGTCCAAGACTAATGACGTGGCAATCGGCTGTTAAAATACTCGCTGCTAGTATTAGTGGAAAGAAATGGTGCGCCTTTGTGTAAGGCGGATAAGGGAAATGAATGCAACACGATTATAGTAATCAGTCATTAGAGAATGTTGTAGTTCGTCATTAATAACTAGAGGCATGGTGCACAACATTTGTGCACTCGGTGAGGGGGTTCCTCGGCCCGGCCTGCACCCTCTCGCAGTCCGAGAGCCCTCGGCAGATGTCCAACTGGCAGCTTAGGCCCGCTCCCTGAGGAGCAG